GGTTACTGGGTGCCACCACCCGAACATGGCATTGATAACGTCCTGAGGGCTACACCCAGGAAATCACGTTTCCCAATATAGGGTGTACCACCCGAGCCAGGCGCTCACAGCGGCCGGGGGGCTACGTTCCCTGATGCATGGTGTACCACCATCCTTCTTAGTACCCAAAGAAGGTTCTCGGCACCCGAGAAATGCTCTTGGTACCCGAGTAGCAACATACTGGCTCCTCAATACTTGGGAATATCGAGCTGCACTGCTCAAAACCTCTGATGGAAAAGCTCACTAGTACTTACAGTATGCAGAACTTACAAGGGGGTCTGCAACGTCCTGAGGACTAAAGCTACGAGCTAGCTTATCATTAAGTCCTAAGGGGCAACTATTAGATATATGGACTAGGGGTACCCGCATCGCCTGTATATGTGACCATCACCAGGCTATCGGCCCAGTAGCCGCCAAGAAGGAGGCCTGCAAGGGCTAACACAGTCGACCAACGTGGAGATCAAGGCAAGCCAAGAAAGGCGTATCTAGACGATAGCTAGGATCAATCTGTTGCGCATATTGTGTAAGAAACTAGGAATCCAATCTGTTAGCCCGATCACCCTCTCTGTAACCCTACCCCCTCTGCCTATATAAAGGAGGGTAGGGAACTCAGGCTCGGGGTCCATCTTCCACCATTCCAATCTACTTCGTAGCTAGGAGCAACAACCCCTGTAATTGAGCATACAAATATAAGAGCAGCAACACCACTGGAGTAGGGTTTAACGTGCCACCGCGCCGAACCAGTATAAATCCTTCTGTCTTGTGTGCCACCATCCGATTCCATCTACGCAATCACGTTACTTGGCATTGCCGGAGCTAAATCATCCGGCAACATCAAAGTCCTTCACAGGTGATTTAGGACCTCAAATAAGCAAAGCCATCATAAAGTTTGACTCCTCTATGCATTCCCAAGGAGGAAGTTGTATGGCACAACAAACACATGCCACATATTGTATTTTGTGTTCTTTTACAAAAAAGGACTGAACCCATCGGTAGCAAGGCCAAGTCTAAAATTTCTTACATCTTTTGCTGGATATTCAATGTCGAAGTCTTGCCATGTCTCACTGTCAGCTAGGTGGCTCATATCCTTCTCAATGGGCTACCGCTTTAACTTGTGCAATTGTGCTACTTCTAATGCTTCTTAGCTCACAAACATCCTCTTTAGCCTAGGTGCTAATGGAAAATTGTCGCAACACTTTATATGGTATCTTCTTTCTTTTTGCCTCTTTCCATCTTGAGAGGCCACAAACTGGGTGTTGGTATTTCTTATGCTTAGGTAGAATATTCTGCAAGCGTACAAAATATCATTGTATCATTTGAACCAGGAGTATTCCAGGGTATTGTATTTATTCTCAGGGAAGTAATGATTAAAGAAGATGACAGCTAACCATGATGTATCTACTAACTAGTTTACCGACTAAACCAAGTGGTGGTAAGTGATATACAATAAGGTAGTGTGACACACAGAAGATTCACTCTAGAAAGGTAAAGTGAAAGTGTAGCTAAGTGAGAGGACAACAAGCAAGGGAGTGTAAGAATCCTAAGTTACATCAAATCAAGCACAACTCTAGCAAGGGACTATAGTGATACATATAAACCAAGAAATAGTAAGGTTGGATGCAATAGCACTTTGGAGCATAGCCCACCCTAATTATCCTAAAGGATTTATTAGACTAGGAATGCAACGTGCCCTATGTTTTAATAATTAACTCTATCATGATGGAATACAGAGGATGCACATGGCCGTCATCACCTGCCACCTACCACAAACTATCCAGAGAGCTAGCCATAATCCATGGTAACTGATAGAGTAAGCACCAAACTTACATTATTTGATACTACCCTAATCTCACGTTAAGACTAGAGCACCCAGCTAGTGACGAAGAAACCATGCTATGAGAGCCAATTATACTAAACAAAGTAGTTATAAGTATCATCAAAGTATAACTAGAGATCAAGACTAGTACTTAAAGTAACAAGATGGAGGAGTCGTGGGGAGGAGCTCAGCATGTTTTGCTAGAGCACCAGCTAGTGATGAAGAACCCATGCTATGAGAGCCAATTAGCTAGGATGGAGGAGCCGTGGGGAGGAGCTCAGCATGCTCTGCTAGGCGGCTTCACCCATGGCGCGGTTGGTGGCGGGCAGCGTTCCGGTGGCGAGCGGGCTCTGGTGCGCGTAGGAGGCGGCACTGGCAGGTTCTCCAGTCGGAGCCTGCGGTGCAGGTGCAGGCAGGACCCGAGGGTGGCTGGCCTTGCCGAGGCGCGATGGCGGACAGCGAGCAGGAGCAGCTGAGTTCCAGCTGGGCTTAAGGACAAGGCGAGGGTGCGAGGGGCTTCAAGCGAGCGTGTGGCACTGGCCGCTGGGCGAGCGCAGCGCGTGGCAGCATGCAGTGCGGGCGTGGTGAGCGCTCCCTGCCCGCGGTAACCGCAGCAGAGGCTGCTAGGGTGAGGGACAGTGGCTCAGGCCATTTTGAAACTCCCATTTCGTCGTGTCTGGCTTGGAAACGAACCCAGATACTGTAACTAAGTTTTTACCGTACGTGAAGAGCTATGACGACTATTTATATGTCATGGCAAAACAGTGAACCGATGTGGAGATAAACTGTCCCAAAATTTGGAGTGTCAATGCATTTCAGCGAACAGTTGTCGTACACGTGAGTGGCCACCTTGAAACTCATTTTTTGGCACGTTTTTTACGGAACTAGCCCATGCTCCCTTAAGCAAATTCAGAGATTACATATCACTCTACAATTCAGGTTTAATATTCTACATCGTTTGATCAACGCTTTAAGAGATAAGAAGCCTCAAAGTTAGGTTCGTAAGGCTGTTATTTCAGACTTCGAAAAATGTCAAGTGTATGTTTCTTCGAATTTTGAGATTCAATTTAATTGATTTAAAAGCGATTTCATCCCAAAATATTAGCACCACAGTTAAGCTTATAACTTATACTACCTTTTTCATATAGGAGTAGTTGTTGTTTCTGTGCATTTGCTGTGCACGTCTTGATTCAAGATGGATAGATGCACACATACAGGACGGCATTGGAAGAGTACACGGTGGTAGTGACTAGTGAGGGAGGTGGGCAGGGCAGGGCCCACGGGTGATTGTTTGAAGGTGACCGGATCCAATCTGCATATAACATGGCAGTACAATACAACTAAAGAACATGAACCTATAAATACAGTCTTGCACATTTATACGAAATTATTAAGGTTGCAACATGTAAGGTACAATTGATGGTATTTTTTTGACAGGCCTGTGGGGATACATGTGCTTTACAATCTTGATTGATGGTCGGGCACGCATGGCGTGCAAGAGTTTCTAATATTATCAATCTTTATTATAAGTTCTCCTGTCGCTGCCGAGTTCATCCTGCAACCTGCATGCTAAGATGGGATGAGGAATTTTCAGACTTCATTCATCAATATTCAGAGTTTGTGCAGACTGCTTTATTTATCCAGAGTTGAGCTTGCTATGCAGGTAGGTAAAGAGAAAAATTCATGTGTCCCCTTAGGCCCTCACTACTTTTTATTCCCCCAGTTGCCTTTTCTTTTCTCCATGGTTTTCAGAAACCTAGCTAGTTAGAAGAAAAAAAATCACTCTGTCCGGATGTGCGCTCCTCCATTCTTTGTGTGCTGGAGGCGTGCTCTCAGCTCTGCTGGCAGGTGGCAGCTTGTTGCCCGGCCATGGAGACCGCATGGGCTGGGCCGGCCGCCGGAATGGCTGCTCACGCTCTTTGGCTTTGACATGATGACATCTCAGACAGGATAATGGGCTTATATATACGGAGAAGGCTAAACCTGCAATGACGCAGTTCCTCGCCGGCTGATCCTCCTCAGTCGCAAAAATGTAGAGGACTTGTGGCGGGAGGAGGACGGCGTAGTCGATTGGCAGATAGAGCATTCGCACCGGATCCATGGGCTTGGGCAGAACATTGTTGACTGGGGATGACAGGGCTGAGGAGGAGGCCGCCTGACGCCGTCGCCGTAGCGCTGGAGTTGAGCAGCATGTGGATGCCGGTGTGCAGCGCCGTCCCGCCGTAGCGCTGCAGCGACGGCTGCATGCGGGACCTCCTCCTGCTCAGGTGTCTGTGTCCGGTGATCGCGGGGACGTCAACGATGTTGTGGCCAAGTTAGTGGATGCGGTGGGTATGCTGTATCTGCCCGTCGGCTGCGGCGTTCTAATCCCGCCACAAGTCCTCCACAATTGCTATAGTGAGTGAAAATTTGAGGCCACTGATGTTGAGGAGGAAAGAAGAAATAGAGGAGGTAGTTGTCGTCGCCGGCCGACGTGTGATTTCATTCATGTATTCTGTTGTGTGTGTGCTGTGACTCTGTCTCTGTTGGGCCTCCCTGAGTGCTCACCGACCAATGTAGTCCTCCATGAATGAAATATAAGCAGCAAGATGTCTGACATTAGGAATTTTCAGACTTCAGACAATATTTACAGTTGGGAGAATTCAGGAAATAGCGCTAGTTTCTTTTGGCGTTCGGTAAAAAGCACTTGAAACTTGTGAATTCACAAAACAACATTGATTTAACCAAATAATTTATGAAACGACACTTCAGCTACCTTTTTTCCATTTTTTATGCCTGCTACCTTTTCCATTTTTCTTCACATAGAGATGGACCAAACTCTCTTGCTGTTTCTGTTAGTTGGACTAACCAGTCACACCCTTTGGAATCTGCTCCATTGGTGCTAATTCAGGTTTCTTTGAATGAATGACGCTAGCTGGAGAGTTCATTCATGGTATTGATTCTAGGACACAAATCCTATTTTATTTCTGAATCCATAACAGTCTACTGATTGACAGAGTTCAGTCCAAGCATCAAAAGCAAACCAAAACTTGTTTCCCTACCAGGAACCAAGATACCAAATTGAGAAAAAGAACACCAAAATCTTCTGGGTTCATTTTATTCTTCCTTGCTGGTTGCTGCCACTCCATGCATTCATTCACTCTGATTAGTTTATAGCGGAGAGGCGCTGAACAAGCATGTTGAATACATTGTCCCTGTCCAGCATGTTGATCCTGACGCACCGCGCGTCTCCTCCGAAATGCTCCCCGCCGCGAGCCACGATCTTGTGGCCGGCGAGCAACTTGGCGCAGTCCTCGACGCTTTCCTTCTCACATCGCAGCCACGCGAACGCTACAAACAAGCCAAATCCAAGAAGAATTCAGAGTTTCAGACATGCAGAGCACACCTTAGCTTGGTTGCAGGCATCGATCTGTTTGAATTATGCAGTGGCAAACTGACAACGGTTAGTTGTTAGTTTGTTACCAGGACAATCTGTCACGGTTTTCTTGGCGAAGTTGCAGTAGCCGGAGGTCTCCTCCGGTAGACTGAAGGCGCCGCCGGAGGCAACCACGGTGGCGCGCAGGGTGCGCCAGCGATCCTCCATGCGCCGCCGCGCGAAGTCGAAGAGGCGAGGCACGGTGATGCCGTCGGCGGCCGGCGGGACGGCCTCGTAGGCGTCGGAGACGACCCCGAGGATCTTGGTGGCGCGCATCTGCGACTCTTTGGACACGCCAATGGTGCTGCGGTCGACGAAGTAGACCATCTTCCTGGCCACGTCGCGGTCCTTCACCAGCGCCCACCTGAGGAGGAGCCATCGCCGTCGTTGTCACAAATGGTTCCGGGAATCGTGCGTCTTTTACGTTGCGTACGTACCCGAGCCTCGTGCCGGCGTGGCCGGTGATCTTGGACACGGTGAAGAGCATGATGTCGTGGGCGGCGCGCCCAGTGATGGGCGTGTACTGCGGCCAATAGTACACCAGGTCATGGATCGCCTTGGCGCCGGCGGAGTGCACGACGGCCTCGCGGATGGCACCGTCGGGATTGTTCGGCGAGCAGACCAGCTCGATGCATTCATCGCCGGTGAACGTGTTGGCATCGCCGGCCCATCGGTAGAAGCCCGAGAGCAGGAGGTCCGTCTGGGGCGGATACGACTGGCATAGATGGAGGACAAAAAAAAAAAAACTTTCGCATCGCATAACGATAGCATAGTACTAACACTCTGCGTGCGTTGTCTGATCTTACGGAGTAGTACGGCGCCGGCGAGACGACGGGGACGGGCCGGTCCCCGGGCGCCGGCGAGCTGAGCGCATACATGGCGGCCTGGTACAGCTGGGTGGCGCCGGTGCCGACCACGAGGTGGTACCCATCGACCACGGCGTTTCCGACGACGCGGTGGAGTCGGCGCACCTCGCGCTCCAGCTCTGGCTCGAGGAACCAGCAGAGCGCGGCGGCGTCGGAGTCGTAGCTCATCACCTGCCACCCGCGGATCACGGTGGCCCCGCGGCCCCCGACCTCCCTCCAGAACGCCTCGTACATCGTCGGGTCGCCACTGCAGGCCACGCAAGCCAAGCTTAAGTTCAGTTCTGTCCGTGATTCAGTTACCTTTTTGCTGCGACTCTGCGACGCGGCGCGGCGAGAAGATGAACATGAGTGGTGGGTGGGCACGCACAGCTCGAGGTTGAGGACGGCGTCCGGCGCGAGCGCGACGTCGCGGTCCAGCGCCTCCCCATCCTCGCCCTCCTCCACCCGCTGCGCCGCGACGCCGCCCACGCCCAACCACGCCGCACACCCACGCCGCAGCCGCCCTTCGACCTGGCCGCGGAGGAAGAACACGACGCAGGCGACGTTGCACGCCAGCGTCGCGCACACTGCGAGCCCGGCCAGCGCCCCCGCCCCCGCCCCCGCCCCCGCTCCGCTTCCGGCCATCGGCGCCTCCGACCTCGCAACGGGAGCCTTGGAAGGGAATGCGAGTACACGACACTGACGACAACGACGGCTGGCGAACAAGAGCCAAGAGCAGCAGGCGGCCCGCAGATTTAAAGCCACGGCCGGCGTTAACGACACGTTGGCCGCGCATCGCATGCGGCCGGTGGCGTGCGCGTGCGGCGCGCTGCCGCCGGCTGATGATGACGAGAGACGCGACGAGGTTTCTTCCGGGCAGCTAACTTTGGATGGGTCGATGCTGAACAAGCACAAGCACAAGGCCGGCATGGCTGTGCAGGAGCGGGGGCCTCGTGCTGTGTGGTCCTGGGAGTTGACGCTGACAAAGCTTTCAAATCCAAGTACCACCCATTTTGCAAAAGGGCCTTTGGGGCCGTGGTTGCAAGGTCAGCCCGTGGGCCTGGCTGCGCTCTCGGGGTGCAGTTCACGTGTTTGGTGCCCTTGGCCTATCCCTCAGCCCGTCTCCCCGTGGCCAAATCCCTCCTCTGCCTGGCTCCTTGGGTACGTTCGAATTGGACGTTTTTCTAGGGCTTGGCTGAACGCGGCTCATGACAGACGATTTAGGAGTGATTTCGGGAGGCGGCGAGTGGCTTGCTCGGGAACAGTGAAAGCTCCGCGCGCGCTCCCGCCTCTGCCGAATCCTTCGCCTATAAAGCCACCCCTCTTCCTATTGTGGCCTCCGTCTCCTCCGTTCCCTCTCCACTGCTACAATCCCGTGAGATACCGGCGGAGGTGGTGTGGTGGTGTCCGACGAGGCGGCGTTCTTCCCCGGTGGGCTTCCTCTCCGTTCCCCCACCGCAGATCTGCTGCGACTCGGTGCCGCACCTTCTTCTTCGCTAGGACTCTGGGAGGCGGTCGTCTTCTTCCTTCATCTTCCTCGGCGCGCTAGGTGGTGGCGCGGACTGGATCTGCTTCCTCTCCGTCAAGATCTGCTGCTTCTTCGTCGCCTCGTCATCAATGTTCTTTGTTTATTTGTTGCCATGGTTGATGATTGAAAGGACCTTGATGTCGCCTAGAGAGGGGATGAATAGGCCTGTTTAAAACAAACTCGCAGCGGAAGTTAAATTCTAGGTACGGCACTGCTGCTCCCAAGGTGCAGCACTACCGCACTACGGCATTGCCTCACAAAAGTGCGGCACTGCCACACCTGTAGACAAGCTCGAACTATAATTCAAAAACTGTTGTTGGGTATCGATATTAGGGATACCCAAAGCAACGCTGACTTCCCCGGATGGCTCGAGACGTATTCAAAGGTCTCGTCCGACCCCTTAGGTGCGGGCTCCGTCTCGTCCGACCTGAAGGCCACGGGCTCCATCTCGCCCGACCCCTTGGGTGCGGGCTCTGTCTCGCCCGACCCCAAGGACGCGGGCTCCGCCTCGCTCGACCCCAAGGACGCGGATTCCATCTTGCCCGACCCCTTGGGTGCGGGCTCCGTCTCGCCCGACCTCAAGGCCGCGGGCTCCATCTTGCCCGACCCCAAGGACGCGGGCTCTGTCTCGCCCGACCCCTTGGGCGCTGGCTCCACCTCTCCCAAGGTCACGGGCTCCATCTCGCCCGACCTCGAGGACGCAGGTTCCGTCTCATCCGATGAGGACCCATACCACAGCCAACCACTCCAAGTCCAACCGTATGGGCCTGGGTCAAAACTCTGACGCCAGGGAAGAGGCTGGCACGCCTCGATGTAACCTGTGGCCATGACGGGCCATACCTGGGGATTCACATCAAGAACAATGTCGGACGTGTCGGTGCTATTCAGCCTAATCCTCGTACAGACGCTGACAGGCACGTCGGTTCACCACGACGTCCGCCGGGACGGAGTGGAACGTCATGACCGGCAGATGACACCTGCGCATGGCGCCAATGACAAATAGGGTCGCGACATGGAGCCATCCCTGTTGATATCTACAGGATCAGTGGGTCCCGCGTGAAGGAGAAGAAGGACCCGACAACCCTAGAAGCCTTCTTCTCTCTCTCATTCTTCTCCTTTTCCTCCTCTGTAACCCGCGCTTTCTCTTTGCCTATAAAAGGGGAAGCAGGGCGCCCCACACTGGGATAAGAGAACACAAGAGCACGACACGAGCACATGGCTGAGCGACAAGCGAGCTCTCAGCGCCTGTTCACTTCTTCCAGCAGAGACCTAGGATCCTCTCCCTCTCTTGCCTGTTTGTAGCCCTACTGCAAACCAAGTGCCGGAAACACGAACAGCAGCGAACTGGATGTAGGGACATTTTGCCCGAACCAGTATAAACCCTTGTGTCCACCGAGCACACCATCCGAGCCAGACGCGTAAATATAAATTTACTCATTGGTGGTCCAAAAACACCGATAATTGGCATGCCAGGTAGGGGCTTTTTGCATGTCTCGACGTCCACATCAGGCTTCGGATGGCTAGTCACGGTGTCAGCTGGGTCCTAGGCGCGCACGTGCGCTTCGAGAACCTGGACTTCATCATTACGATGGAGGGAGAGTTGGCGCAGGTTCCCACCGCCGTCCAAACTCTCCACTCCACCGGCCTCGATGCGATCGCCGAGGCGCTTGAGGAGCTGCAGTTGCACGCACTGGAGGCCCACGCCCCCGAGAGCGACTAGCTCCTTGGCTTCGATTATGGGAGGCTAGAGCGCTAGCAAGATGCCTTCCTAGGACTCTGACCATCCTGGGAGGACCTCCACCGCCTCACCTTCACGTTTGCCAACGTCATGATGCAGCTTGCTAGAGGAGATCCGCTCTCCCTAGAATACCTCATCCACAGCACCCCGACAGCGCTCCCATTCGGTCAGCGCAACGCTGCAGAGACCGTTGGCCACCTTGTGGTGCAGCGCACGCCCCCATCCCCTATGAATGATGAGTTCGTGGGAATGACCAAATATATTGTGGAATCTTTCCACGACCTTCTCACGGGAGAATCGGAGTCGCCCTTCTGACTCTGACTCCAGCAGGGGGAGCCATCACCTCTCACGAGAATGCTTCATGGCAAGTACCCCCGAGGAACACATCGAAAGCATCCGCAAGGGAGGGGCTACCCCAACGGATGACCTCGACGACGAGGTCTAGGGGATGCAAGGGCCCCACCTTGCCTGCGGGTAGAGCAACTGAGGGCGTGGCACCAAGAGCTCAAAGAAGCATGACTCCAGGTTGAGCAGGAACGAGCGGAGCTCGAGCGAGAGATCAAGCGCCACGGAGACGGTGGGCGTGCGAGAGCCATGGCCTACGACATGAACCGGAGGATCATCAAGGACGACAAATCCCTCCCACACTTCACCCGGGCAAGCCAGAACATCACTGCTGCGGTGGCCTTGCTCCGAGGGCTTCCAGGGCCCACGATGCTTCCAGGCTGAGAGCTCGCTTGAAAGCTCTAGTTTGGTTTTGGATAATTGATGAAACCCTAAGTGCTAACCTAGTTTGTCAAAGTGATTTTGAGATAGGTAGCACTACTCTAAGTGATGAAGCAATGGCGAAGGTCATGACAATGGTGATGGCATGGTGATGATCAAATGCTTGAACTTGGAAAAGAAGAAAGAGAAAAAACAAAAGGCTCAAGGCAAAGGTATAAATAGTAGGAGCCATTTTGTTTCGGTGATCAAGACACTTAGCGAGTGTGATCACATTTAGGTTAGATAGCCGTACTATTAAGAGGGGTGAAACTCGTATTGAAATGCGGTTATCAAAATGCCACTAGATGCTCTAACTCATTGCATATGCATTTAGGATCTAGTGGAGTGCTAACACCCTTGAAAATGTTTGTGAAAATAAGCTAACACATGTGCACAAGGTGATTCACTTGGTGGTTAGCACATTTGAGCAAGGGTAGGAAACTTCACCGGCGGAGTAGTCCAACGGTGCCACCGGCGCCCTAGACAGAAAAGACGAAGGTCACTGTAAGTGACCGGACGCTGGTCTTGGTTGGACCGGCGCGTCTGGTCAGTAGCAGCAGAGGGCGCGCGTCTTGGTCTTCGACCGGATGCTGGCGCTAAAAGTGACCGAACGCTGGTAGGGTGCGTCCGGTCAGTGCTGACGTACGCTGACATGGGACGCACAGAGGAGACATTGAGTGACCGGACGCTGGGTGAGTCCGATCGGGCATGGCCGGACGCGTCCGATCGTGAAATCTCATGTTTGGAACCTTACTGGAAACGACCGGACGGTGGGGTCCAGCGTCCGGTCACTTTCTAACTGACGTGTCCGGTCATCAATTGACTGTTGAAATCGGGCGATCGGCGTTTGAAGCCGATGACACGTGGCGCACATCGCTTGACCGGACGCTGAGGTCTAGCGTCCAGTCGGCCTGTGTTCAGTGCAGTGAGGAGTCCAACGGCTCTATTTTGTGGGGGCTTCTATTTAAGCCCCATGGCTGGCTCAAGCTCACTCTCTTAGCCATTTGCATTGACATAGCAACCTTGTGAGCTTAGCCAAAGCCCTCCCACTCATCTCCATCATTGTTTCATCATCATTGTGAGATTCGGAGAGAAACCAAGTGCATTGCTTGAGTGATTGCATCTAGAGGCACTTGGTGTTCGTGTTTTGCTATGAGATTTGCTTGTTGCTCTTGGTGGTTGCCACCACCTAGATGGCTTGGTGCAGCGGTGGAGGATTGGCACGAGTTGGTGATTGTTCATGGCCATTTCCGGTGATTGTGAGGGGTCTTGTGCCTTCCCCGGCGGAGCGCCGAAAGGTAACTCTAGTGGATTGCTCGTGTCATTGAGTTACCTCACTTGTGGGTAGGTTCTTGCGGTGTCCAATCGTGTGGACGAGGTTTGTGCAACACCTCTTAGCCGTCGAACCACCAAGTGTTGGTCGACACAATGGGGACGTAGCGTGTTGGCAAGCACGTGAACCTAAGGAGAAAATCGGTTGTCTCTTGCCATTTGGCATTCTCTCGGTGATTGATTTCATATTCATCTTGTGATTGGTTCATCCCTCTACACGGCGGTATAATCACCCTACTCACTCTTTTATATCCTTGTAAACTAGTTGTGGTAAGCTCTTCA